AACAAGAATTGGAAAGAAAAGAATCGGGCATGACCTTTGGCATAGGTGAAAGCGTCATGGCTACAGTTCGGAACCCGGCCCGTGGTCAACAGATTTGGTACCAACCCGGACCATTGACCACGGTTTGTGAATCACCCCGTCGTTTGTTCTTGGCCAGTTTCGATTTATGTTTTTTTTTTTCAAATATAATTTTATATTTAAAGTTTTGATTTTGTTAATACTTTTTTGTTTCAATTTCTCAGTTCAGAGCTCGAACTCGGCTTATTTATCAATATTAACGAGTCAGGCTAGAATTTTAATGAGCCAAACTATGTAAAATTATATGAAAATTCTTACTTTGGAGCTTTAGCGACCCGAGCCTAGTCGACTCGTTAACTAAACGAGTTTTCAGTGAGCTCGAGCTCGGCATGTTTTATCAAACGAGCCGAGCTGAGCTCACGAGCGACTCATTTTGTTTAACAACTCTACTAATGACATGTTGATAGCATGATCATGCTTTCATATCTGAGACTACACTGATAGAGTTCATGTATAATGGAAAATTTGAAATATGGTTCGTTGATAAGGATGTCCAGAAATGCAAGTCATATCAATTTTAATGTCGATTAGATACTCGGACGAGCTCTTGGAGGCCGGATTGGACGAGCCAGTGGCGGATGGGACATTGGAATTACCAAAGTCCACTTATTTCCATCACCTATTTTCACTTCCTTGAAGATGCCCGATTCCCTCTCAGTCGTCACTTTTCACAGGGATGAGGTTAAAACTTTCTTCATTGTCCTCCTTTTCTTTATTACTGACGATAAACAAATGTATTCTTGCAATGATGTGACTTATGCTGACGGAAAAAAATCTGGTTTAGGTGTGGGAGCTTCCTGTCAACGCAGAGGTCTTAGCATGGTCAGACAAAACCGGGGTCGAAATGTTTAGGTACGGCAGTCACATAATGGGTATTCAGGGTCACCCTGAATACACCAAGGATATCTTGCTGCACCTAATCGACCGTCTTTTCAACCGGGAACTCATTGAGGTAAAAGAAAAAAGAAATGAACAAAAGCTTTTGATTTCGTAACAATTATGATTACGAATTATTCGTGAAGGTAAACTATGAAGCTTCTTGAGTTCTTACTCATGATGAATAGAAATGCGCCATAACACAATGATTCACTAGCTTCCCGAGTTCTTAGTCATGAGTGAAAATGGTCTATAATCGTGCAGGAATCAATTGCAGCCGAGGCCAAGACTAAAGCGGCGGGCAGTGAACCCGACAGGGAAGCTTGGAAGAAACTGTGCACCGCCTTTCTAAAAGGAAAATTGTGATGATGATGATGAAGAAAACACAACTTGTGGGGATTTTGGAAGTGTACATATAAATTATGTTGTGCGGTTTGGCTGAAATATGATCATATACAGCCTCCAAATAACTGTGTTCTTGTGGCCTAAAGATAATTTTTATTGGACACTGCCAAGTAATTTGTTTATCTTCCATCTCATTTTTTGGGAATCTTCTTATGGTTTTTATTGTAGTCTATTAGAATTCAGGAGGAAGTAGGACACGCATTGAAAAAAAAAAAACAAGAACATGCACGCACGTACAGATAAACAGCTCGTTCGCTTGCAGAACCGAACAAAACTGACGCGTTTGTAACGGAAACCGATCATCGGTCACTGAATTGATATCGGTTCGATAAGTTTCTCAATAGAATTACGAGATATTGTATTACATCATATAAACAGTTGGAAATGACACGGATACCATTCGTCACGGATATTGTATTTTACTGTAGGCTCAAAAAC